AAATACTGTTCACTTTCTGGACGTGTCGAGTCATGGCCTCAATGCAGGCCTCGTCTGAACCCATTTTCTCGTAGAAGAGATGGTCCGCCTGAAGGTAGAGCATACACGTGGTCTTCTTCGGGTCGATCACCACATGCCTGTCGTGCCGGTCGTCTGTCCAGTGGGTCCGGTGGACGGCCCGCACGCCATACGGCTCCGACTCTGTGTAGTGCAGCGAATCCTTGTCTCTCCAATAGTACGGCTTTCCCTCCCCTTTAATACGGTTTCCATGAGTTTCGCTGTCATCATAACTCACTTCCACTGTCTGTCCGTTAATTTGATTACTCTCTTGTCGTTTGACTCGAGTTTTGCGACCCATTCTTCCGCTTCTGGTGGTAGACGTCGTCGTCGTTGTCGTGGATGTCGTGTCGTCTCCGATGCCATTCGTTTCCTTCTCCTCCTCTTCTCTCGTATTTGTTTTGCTTTTTGTTTTCTTATTCAATGAACGGTCGGCTAATTGACTGAACACATAATCGATAGCTCTCTCATGTGAGCCACTCTTCATAATAGTATCGCCACTGTATTCATGGTATGCGTTGTTATCGTGCAGTCGCTGTTGTCGTTGGCCATCATTTAGTCGCTCATCAGTCGATGAAATATAATTATGTCTAACTTTTTGGTCATTAACGCGCGATTGGGAACAGTTGTGACAGCACTCCGACGTATGGTGTTGTCTGGCGTCGGGCGCTGACCCCCTGTCCTCCTTCCGGTTGATGTCGTTATCACTACTGATATCATCACTACTACTACTACTGGAGTTACGGACACTTTGCTGGACGTATGTGTGAACAGAGCGGCAAACAGTGGTGTCGACGGCCGGGAAGTCGACCGCCGAAAGCGGATATATAATTGAGTGAAAGTCTTGTTCATCGAAATAACGGTCCGCCGGCTCTATATAGTAGTCTTCGGTGGGCGTCCGGATGTGGCCGTCGATGAGACCGTCGGCAGTGATCACTCCAACCACTTCTGACCGCTCGTCGTCTGGCAAATAGAGATTAGTAGACGATATTAATGAGACAAATAATCATTTGCGAGATAATTGTGTCGACCATTAAATATATAGTGTGTGTATATGTAGTGTAGAAACATGTATAACGAGGTTAAACACCAGAATTCAATAATTGGAAACACAATTTCTAATTAATTTTTCTTTTTTGTGTCTGTTTTGTTAAGACTGTTGTCCAACGACTGTATCGTCACAGCAGTCCATAAACTCACTGCTAGTTTTGTGAGATATGCTGTACATTATATTGACTACTAATCTGATTATAACTAAACGGAAATTATTTATGTCTATATTTCTGGCCGAGATTTCACATTTAATGCTGTCATATATTTTTTGGGCATAAAAATAAATAATTGCGTTATTAGTGAGACAGACAGACAGACATACAGTTCAGTACATACATTGAATGTACATTGAATTTTATGCAGCAAATTATATCAGTGTATGTTTTTTGTCGTGAAAAATCAATTAAATAATTAATTTGTTTAACAACTTATTCCGTACCAAAAACTTTATTTCGTGTATTTTGAAGTCTCTAATGATTTCAAATGGTTTATATATTTATTCAAAAAACCCTTCAATTTTTCTGGTTTCCAATTTAAATGTTAATCTATTAGATGTGTTATTTACGGGCACTCTATCTGTATATTCAGTGAAATATACTGTATTTACGAAATATATATAAATACTTTATTGTATTAATACTATGTTTATGTAATACATTATACAGTATATAAGGGAGAGAATGAAAATGATAATTTGCATTATTAGTTCATATCTCATATACATATTTAGGGGCTTTGATCTCGTTATTAAGTTTAAACACCCAAACGTACAAAAGTTATGAATGACTTTTATATGTATGTATTTATATAAACATAACGCAAACATCTCTAATAAATTAATGTTATTCATAACAAACATTTTTTAATTAAGGATTCTCTTAGTTTTGGCAAATAATTTATTGTATGTTTAATAAAGTAAAGTAAAGTCTGTATTACTGTTGTGTATTGTTATATACAATGTGCAAAACTAAAACTAAATATATTGAATCCATTATCTCAATGTCTAACTTATCAAACATATTAGTATGATTTTAACTATTATGTGTTTGATTTTTAATTCTAAAATTATAAATAATCAACAAAATTAATATTTAAAAAAAGGATAATTGTATGAACATTTTTGAACTTTTTAATGATAAAGTATTACTTAGCAAAACTAGCCATGTATTTTATTTAAAATGTTATAACACAATATATCAAGCTTAAATTAGTGTATTATATTAATCTAATATTGAATTATTATAAATATTACTGGCTATTATTAGTTTATACTTAAATATACGTAACGATATGAAATTGTATCTCACCTTTTGTACAAATCGGTCAGCAGATTCTCTTAGCGCGGTTAAATCTAGTTGTGGTTTAAATTAAAAAATTTTAATACAAGACTTTAAACATCCATAGATAAGCTATCAAATGGTATATAGATTAATCAAATAAGTTAACCATGGTTAAAGTTATTACAATAATTTATTGTATGTTTAATAAAGTAAAGTAAAGTCTGTATTACTGTTGTGTATTGTTATATACAATGTGCAAAACTAAAACTAAATATATTGAATCCATTATCTCAATGTCTAACTTATCAAACATTAATTTTGTTCATATAGTATATTAACTGAATATACAGTATATTACAACATATATACCATAAATTTATATAAACTACGTATTTATCCCATATAATATCATCTCAATAATTTCGTAAACAAACGAAAAAGTATAGATGTTTGTAGAGGACTTGTGATTTAAGTTTAATTACGTTAAATTAATGCATTCAATACATGCCTTTTTACTCTAAAGTAAAACTATAACTAAAATTTAAATTTTAAATATAAAATAAACGTATAATACAAATTATGACATTTACTATAGTACTCAATTATGTTCGCTTGTTTTTATCGTACTAAAAATATACTGTCTCGTATTCTGCAATAGAATTTTAATCATTAAATATTAATATGTTGCCTGTTTTAATATTGATAATGTATATTCTTGGCTAATATTCAATTTAATATAACCTAAAATATATATTATTGACAAAACAGAGTATTCGCAATTTTTTAATATTTTATTTTGAATTTTATGCAAAAATATAAATATATAACGAATTATCATTATATAATATATGCGACATTTAATCGTGATTTAATTTACGAGTCTATGTGAGAAATTTCATCAAACACAATTTGTTATTCACTTTCGTGCAAACAATTAAAATAATTATATAATGTTTGAAATAATTTCTCTACTGTTTTAAGTTTATGTAAACTTTATTTCTCTATATATGCAGACAATATAATCTTGGTTAAGTTAGATACAAATACTGTCCAACACATTGATCTAATTGCATAATCATTATGTATATTTAATTGATGATAAATGTGTCGACAATAGCATTAATGTATTTATTTAATGAGAAAGTGAACAATAAATACCCTCTAAATATCCTTTAATGGCATTATTGGTGTCGTAATTGAAGACTCCTTTAGTGGTGGACTCGAAGACCACATCCGACGTGAAGAGCGAGTTATCGGCTCTCATCACAAGACGGAAGAGACGATTGTGTGCCGAGAAGTTGAGCCGAATCTCGTTGTGAGGGCTGTGGCGGC